TCCAAAATGGCTAAAGACTTCATTATGGAGTACAGGAAGGAAGTGAAGGCCGTGTCCTCGCAGATACAGATCCCGCCGCTTATGTACGACGAGAACGACCGGCCGTATATGACAGCCAAAGGTCTCCAGAGATTGTCTTATATTTGTTGAGACGTTTGAAAATAATTGACAATTTTTGTCGCGTTTGATAGGAATGCGAAAGTATTGTATCGCGAATGTGGTGGTGCGAGGGAACGGCACCGGGAAAGTCGATATTAATGGCCAAAATTTGCTATACTTTGAGTTCATGCAGGACAGGTAGCTATAGTTTAAAAGCTGTATAAGAGCTCACTGTGTGTAACGTGTATTTGCGCGGATCAGAGAGCAGGTGATGTCTCCGCTCACCTTCACGGGCCTGTTGTTCAAAGTGGACATCGAGTGCCAGACAATGCACGAGGAGATGACCAAAGAGTGGAGCCGCGACTCGCCGCCCATTGGCTCGAAGGTGGGCCCCGGGAACACGTGGCGCGAATTGGGAACCACCGCCCAGGCCGGCGCCATACGGTTAGCCCTGTCGCTGGCGCTCAGGAGTTTTGTCGACGAAAAGATGGTCGAGAAGATGAGATTAGGTACGCGTTTAGTGTCCATTTAATTGATAATACGAGTGAAATGGTAATATAAATGTGTGTTTACCTCAACGAACAGCCGGTTTATTAACACAGGATGTGCGGCGCCGGGAGCGCAAGAAGTGGGGACAGGAGGGCGCCCGCAGGAAGTATACCTGGAAAAAGAGATAATTTTGTAGTCATTTCATTACACATGTATTTATAGAGAAATTATGACAAAATTTTAAATTAATAAACAAATGATTGTAGAAAATAATTGATCCATTATTCCCACACTGGAGTGAGTTATGCAGCAATTGTGCGCCTATTATGCAGAGACTGTCACATAATTCATGCAAACACTGTATCAATGAATTTGACAATTGATTGCATGTCTCGCGCTATCCATCACTCTCTCAGCGCTATTCAAAACGCCTGTTATTCGAGTGAATCGATTGCCACACAATCACTAGCCGTTGAGTCCACTGTTTAGCGCATTTAAGACATCAATTGTCACACCATTTGATCCTAACTTAACAGTACTAACTTCGCAATAATAGGTGACATTATGACCAAACGGCAGACTAGAGCCACGGACACCACTGATGCCAAACAGAGTCACAACTCGAAGTACACGAACGAAGAGATCTCATCGGCCAACACATTGGTCTCGTTGATGGACAGCAGCGGCGACCAGACCAGTGACGCGCCAGTAGTCATCGCCAAAGACCTGGACACTCACGAGGAGATCATCAGTGGAGACAAAAGCGATTCCTTGCCATCGCTGGACTCCATCTCGAGCGGCGACCTCTTGAACGCTCAAGAGATCAAACAAAGATCAGTGGGAAGCGAGACACCAAAGAGTGACACCTCTCCTCCCAAACGTCAGCCCTCTGTCGCCGCCACCGCACCCGCCGCTCATCCAACGCACCCATCGATGGCCGCCGCCGCCAATCATCAGCCGGTCTATAACGGGGCGCCGGCTTATGGCTACTACCCGATGGACCCGTCCATGGCTTACGCCCAGTACTATCCCATGTACTCAATGCCCGGCAACTATGGCCCGCAGATGGCTCCGACTCAGATGCACCCGAACTTCGCGCCCATGGCTCCGATGGCGCCCCAAATGCACGGTCAGCCCGCCATGAATCCCGGCGACCGCCAGTGCCCCTACTGTTTGGCCACCAGCGGCGCGCAGCATATTCACCACAAACTCAACTGATCCGCGCATTTATTTACTTATGTTTTACTGTCTTTTTGTTTCGTTTTTTGATTTATTACTTAAATTCTTGATTTTCTGTTGACTTTTGTTACACGAATTGAAATATTTATTTTATTTATGATTGATTTTTTTTGTTTGTCTGTTTTGTTGTTGAATTGATGTAAATTTTATTAAAATATTAATTTTATAACCAAGATCGTTTTATTTTAAAAGTTTTCCGGACTTTGGAGGTCAGGGAGTAGGGATTGGTTTTGAGGTCAGGGATTAGGGACTGGTTATGAATTAGCAATCAAATCGTTGTTAGTTTTTGTGATAAACTTCAAACAACTTTACTTTTACTTTACTTTTAAACAAAACTTTTATATCAACTATCATTTGATTACAGAAAACATTCATTTCAGTCATCAGTTGCCTAAACAGTGGACACAAACTATCACTTAATTGATCCCTAAAAATGGATACTGATATCACTGATGACATCGCTTCGTTGACAAACTGAACCGATCGCTCAGGAGGACAATGAAGAGGTAATCATCAGATTTAGTAATAATAATCTCATGATTTAATCACAACTTTTATTTCATGTCCTAATAATAGCCGCAAATGCATGCCATAGATGAGCGAAACTACGACTTCGACGGCAATATCGGCAACTTTGACGAGTTTATCGCCG